AGGGTGAAAATAACATGAAAGACCTTGAGATTATTGAGTTCGGAGGGTAGGTTATGAAAAGGGAAGGTGTTAGCACCCTTTTCATCCGTAGTTATCTACGGGCTCTTAGTCGCTAGCTCACTTTGAAAATGCTTTGTAAACATGTGTTGGAAAATATTTTGAAAATGCCAATAGTAAGACAAGACTTTGTAATGATTCTCGTATCTATCCTTAAGAATGCATACAAAGTGTTTTGTTTGAAAATATCTTTGAAGAGTGTTTGTGTGAAAAAGATGTTTTTGTTTTGAGATGTTTGTGAGCAAGCGATTACGAGCGATCTACCTACTCAAGGTCGTTCTTGTAATTTCCTCCTCCTTTAGATAATGTTATCCTACCATTAGTTAGTAGGAAACCCTGTCGTTGGATGTAAAAGGACAGGCGCGAGTCATCGTACAATCATCGAAGGCAACTTGTAGGGGCGCTTTAGCAATTTTGTAAGGGACTAGATCATTTATCGAAGGCAAAATTCAAAATGGGTCATCGAGGGACTACGATCTTTGATTTCGAGGGACAGTGCTAAAGCGTCCCCACGTTCGAGGGACATGACTATTATTCGTAAGGAAGCAAGAGAGGGTACCCTAGAGGTGCGGGTGTGCAAAGTGATTTGTGTTTCAAGTATTATTTATCTTTGATTAGGGTTAGTTATCGTTTATTTTTAATCTTGCCATATAAGCCTAATTACTAACAGTAACAGTAAAAATAGGAAAGCGATAAAGTACGAAAAGTAAAGCAGAAAATAAAACCCTAGACTACTACATTGGCTTTGGGAGAGATACATAAATAATGAAAACGTGGAAAAGTAAACCTAATTACTATTAAAAACTATGAGCAGTTACAATAATCTTAAAAATCGCAAAAATAATAAGCTACGCGAAAAATGTAAGATAGGAAAAGCGAAAGAGTTTTTTAGTGATTCTATTAAGAAGAGTTTAATGATTAACCTAAAGAACCTAATTAATTTTAATTGAAAAAGGAATTGATAATTAAGTTAAAAACCCTAAAAACTCTAAATTGATTTTAATTGAAAAAAATGATTAATTAGTGAAAAATATTTAAAAAAAAACCTAATTTAATTTTAATTAAATAAAAAATCTAAAACTAAATTAGGGTTTATACAAAAAGGGTTTTTGTTAAAGTTTTTTTTTTGTGAAAGTTTATAGGAAAATAAAAGGAAAAGAGTAAAAGAATAGAGAATTATGAAAAAAAAAACAAAATTGACAGGGGTGAGTGTTGAACCCACACCCTCAACAATTCCAACCAACATGTCCACCACTAGGCCATATGCGTCTTGGTGTCAAGGAATGGAAGCTAGCGCCTTTGCAAAACAAGTAAAATAATGAAAAATAACAAAATGCCAAAAGGCTGGGATCAAACCCACGCCTTGGCATATTAGTATCTTATCGCGCACGCTTCAACCACTAGGGTGATAATACATCTGGTGTCTTTAATCAAACAAAATGCATATAATATAAAATTGTTGCCTGAACCGGAGAGGCGTCAGAGCCCTAACTCCGGTTGTCTTCTCCGGTAACTCCTTTTCGTGACCTTGCAAAATAACAAAGATTAGCAATCCAGGAGCACCCTACCCCCTTAAATCGAGGCCTGAGAATTCATTGGGATGCTTAGTTTTGACTAAAATGCCATGGTTAAGGAGGTATGATCAAAGCAACTCAGATCAATGAAAATATGGCAAATTATTATTCTGATAGCATGAAGGTCATGCGATTAACTTTTCCTTCACACAGAGACCTCATGAACACATTAGCATGGCTGGTTTATCTTAAAACGCAATGAAAATCAAGAATTAAAAAAAATCATGCAATGATGGAATCGTGATGCATGCTTGAGCTTTTCTGGCTGTTTGGATCTTTGTAAATAATCCAACCTTACCCTATGATCTTCCTGGGATTGATTGGAATGACTAGTGTGTGTTAAAAACGGCTGCAAATAGGTTTTGCAAGTTGCCCTAGATTTGAATATTTTTGTGATTTTTGGAGGTTTCTTGGACAAGGTTTTTTGTGGTTAGGGTTTGTATGAATGAAGAAGAATATATAGGTTAAATTTAAGTCAAAATATATGGGCTTGGACTTGTGTAATGAACCTTGTCTTATTTTATCTTATTTTGACTTTTAAAATAATAAAAATGAAAAATATAATATAATAAACCAAAGGGAGGTGCATGAACAAGTATTTAGGTGCATATGGAGTGTATAACACGTTTGGACTTTGAAACAATAGCCCAATGGCCCAAAACTTCAAGTTCGTTCAATTTGAATTTCATGTATTTGCTCAAAATTTCCCAACTTGTACTGGTTATAACTCTTTCAATTTTCATCTTTTGAAGGTGATCTTGGACTTTTTGGAAAGCCCGAGATGTCCTATACAATCTATATGTTGATCATTTTTGCATTTGAAGACTTTATCTTGATGTAAGTTGCCTTGACAAAAAATGTCTTTTTGTTGACTTTTGAAATGACCTATAATGTATTGGCTCATATCTCTCAAATGAAGCATTTTTTGGATTTGAGCTTAGAGATACAAAGCTGTAGATAATTTAATTTCCTTCAAAATGAGCTTTGGTTGAGAATTTTCTGATGAAGTATGTGAAAGTTATGCTTGTTCAAAGTTCAGTTGACTTCTCTAAGGAAACCCTAATTTGGCAACTTTTGACTTTTGATGATTTGAGAGTTTTCCTTGAAGAATCATGATCAACCCTTGATCAAATGGAGAATGTGATTTCAAAACCTTGATGTTGACCAAAAATCTTGAGGTTTGGCTGTATGTTGACCATAGTTGACTTTTTATCCAATACAGTTGATTTTTAGTCATGTGAGCAATTGACTGAGCAAACTTGTGATGCAAGACATGAAACTTGGTATGAGCATTCTTGAAGACATATAAAAAACCATTAATCCCATTTGAGACCTTAGAAACCCAAATTTTCTTGTGAAAGATGAAATCATAGTTGTGGACCCCTTGCTTAGGAGGAGAATTTGTCTGATCAATTCTTGAGCATCCTTGAGCATTTGAGAATCTTAGGAGAATATCTTGAAGAAAAGGGAGGGAATATTTTTGGGTACAACAATTCTTTATGCTTGTTTTTTTTGTATTGCGACAACTACGTCTCTTGCCCCATACAAGGAGAATTAGGCGATCAAGCTCTTATGGGTGTATCTTGACTATTATGTAGCAAATGACATTGCCTTTTGCCCATACGGAGGTCACCGCCAAACACGTCAAGTGGACATCATTTCGTTATACTCCAAATGGTTGGCTTATGAGTTAGATTATATGTATCTGTATCTTCCTGAGCGAGTGATGTGCCAGTTTGGGCATTTACAAGTTATTCCAAGACTCTCCACAAAGTCTACTCTTCCCGCCATCCACTGCAGAGATCTTGATCCCATACTTGAGTATTTCGAAAACCATTTGGTATCGGAAAACTATTGTAGGGTGCCATCTCCTGTAAAATGGGCTTATATAGACGACTACATAACATGGTTATATAAGATGTCACATCCTCTCACGATACCAGATGCTCATGGAAGACCATCCATGCTATCTAACCAGGAGGTATTAAGGCTAAGGATAACCACACCCAGGACGTAAGCAGCGTCTGTCGGTGTATTATGGATATGACGAGATCAGGCATATAGGTAGAATTTTTTGAGGATGATAGTTCCTAATTGACACTCGTAGAAGGCATTATTGACGAGGAAAAAAATGCCTTGCAATACAGGCAGAGAAGTTATGGGATTAGACATTCTCAATAGTTTATGTTTATTTATATTATTTTATATATTTTCGAAACAAGATATGAAGGGTCGGTACATTTCGATTTTACTTTAATTAATGTATGACTTTTTAATATATATGTAGTATGTTTGAATCAGTTAATGCACATGTTCTCTAATTTATGGCCTAAAATGAACAAAATATAAGTTGGTCTAAAAAAATGTCAAAGTTAGGAAAATGTTGTTGTTTATAAATCATTCAGGGGCTTTCTGGAGATGGATCTTCAAAATATTCCTTGTTATGTGCAATTTAACATGCTTCCAATAGCTTAAAATGAATCCAGTTGGATTTACAAAGTTGCATATCTGAATACATCCCAGACAATACATAGTTGCATCTCCGAAATAGATTTTAGAAAAAATAGTGGGTGGCTGAATTATGAGGACTGGTGTGGTTTTATGTGCATCTGAAGATGTATCTTCCAATACAATAAAGATATTTTTCGGGTTTTAAAAAATGCGAGACTTTTTTTTAACATTTATTTATTCAAATTGATAGAATACATCTAATAATACAAAATCAAAATCATTATAAACTGAAAATGGTAAACTTGTAAACAAACTCACAACACCCACATTAATAACATATAACGACAAAATACCTGTAAATGTGACAGCCTACAAATATGACGAAATTGAAATGCTCGAAATACCCATGTCTCAGAGTCAGCAGCATTTACGACATCAAAGTCATTGATTGAATATGCACTGAGTCAAAATTAACATGTCAATCTGAATCGAACAAACACCACATCAAAACATGAAAACAAAATAACGCCGCAATAAGACGACAACTAATACAACATCACACTAACACAACGAAATCATAAAGAAAAAACTAAAAATATATATAAAATCATTTATTTTTCATCGATAAATATTTACATAGCCGATACAAATTTTCTGTCTTCCCTATTCACACTTTTTTGGAATACGCGTGGAAGTCAAGGTGAAAAAGAACAGAGTTATCGAACGCGGGTGTGTTCTTCATAAGGTTTTAGCACGCACATCACCAAAATAGAATAATCCTTCAATTGCTTCACTACGATCTAATCTTCCTATGATATAAATTTTGAATCGATACTTTTTTCTGGTAACTTTCAATTTTTCCGATCCCCAATTTTGTTTGTATATATACATACTTTTGGGTTCTGGGATCAGTGTGGAATGGAGAAGGTGATGAACATTCTGAAACCGAAGGCGAATCCTCAACAAATATTGAGAGATTGGCAACGCAGGCTTCGCCAAGAGTGTCGAAACATCGAACGTCAAATTCGCGGTAATCCCCCTTTTTTGATCTCTAAACCCTAATTGATTAATTGTTTATGTTTGTGATTATGTTTGATTTGTGTGTTTGCGTGGTTCGGTTTAGATATTCAGAGAGAAGAAAAAGCTGTGCAGAAGGCTATTAAAGAAGCTGCCAAGAGGAATGACATTGGCTCTGCAAAGGTTGTTTTTATTTTTTGAGATCCACAATTATGATATTTGAGGTATTTTGGAAGAAAAATACGTCTTTAGTATGATATTTCTATCAATTTTCAGGCACTTGCTACGGAACTTGTGAGATCGAGGAAAACGGTGAACCGTCTTCATGAAAATAAAGCGCAATTGAATTCGATATCAATGCACCTTGGTGAAAGTGTTGGTAGGTTTTGCCATGTTTTATTTCTCTTAAATTTTTTTCCGGTTGATTTAAACATGTCTGAGTCAGTTGTGTTTCATACTAGTTGTATGATAATTGATGCTTAGTGGAAGTTTTTTCGTTTTAAGTTGAATAAGTAGATTTGTCAAGATCATTGGATTTTATGATGATCAAATGTTTTGTAATGGGGAAGACTCGGTTGAGACTATGTCTATAGGGGAAAAGCTGACTGATGTCTATATGACATGCAAGTGCTGAAGGGAGAGCTGATTTTATTTCTTCATGTGAGGCCTTTTGGGTGCTGTGGATTGGGTCATCAGAATCTTTTTTGTGTTTATATATTACTCTATAAGTGCTTATGCAAGTGTTTGGACTTGATATGAAAGTAGCTTATATTGGCTTATAAGATGTTTATAGCTAGTTTCTATAAGCTACAGAAAGTAGCTTATCAAGTAGGTTGTATGGAGCTTATGAACTAGTAATACGAAATACATCGCTTTGCGGCGCTGTTATTGTGGAAAAACCCGCAATGTGGCCAATATTTACCATTGCGGCGAGCCCAAAAACCGCCATGTATATCCGCCATAGCAGCCATGGCGGGGCAATTTGATAACATTGGTTATGAGTAGGAAGCTTTACATTCCTATAGGAGCCTAGTTCTGTGACCGATTTGGGTTATTGTTCGTCTATGTAATTCCTTCGTTATTCATCAATTATACAGTCTCTTGATTATTTCTGTTTATTACATTTTGTCTCTCTGATTCGATTTCTGGTTTGTAACACGTTCTTTGGTTTCTGAGCTGTGGTTTGATTTCTAAGTACACACCAGCACAGCCTTTAGGAATTGTTTAGTACACAAGCATAACTGGTTTCTTTTAGATGGTTTTAAGTTTTCTTTTTCCATTAGAGAAGATAAAGAGGTTCTGCTAATGTGATCTGATTTGAGGTTTTTTGATTGTTTAAATTGAAGTAAGAAAGCAAATTCAACAATTTTGTTTAAAGATAATAAGTCAACAAAGGGGCAGGGAAGTTGTATCCAAATAACAAACCTATGTTGTCAATAGCACTGTGATCAGGCATATAGCGTTTTCGCTGGGCAGTTGGGGTCTGCTGCAACGCAATTTCAGTGCTATCTGCTGCCAGCAGTAGCAACGAAAGCGGCTACTAATTGCTGAAAAGTTGATGCCTTGTGTTTTTTAAACAATTCGCATTATCTTGCTTTGCTTTCCCCCCTTATATGTTTCTTTTTAAGATTATTAAGGGATTATTTCTTAATTTTGCAATATTATGTTGATCACTACCACTCTTCCCACTCATTCAAGCCAAAACACCCGACCTTTGCTCTTCAACTCCGTTTCAAGCGAGAACAGGAAGAGAGGGGAAAGGGTTTGTGGGGGTTACTGTCTGAGTCGTGCATTTTCTGGTTCAGCTGTTTTATCTCAAGTATTTTTTATTTGGCCTTATACGACTCTACTCTGACAAATTATCACTAGAATATAGAACTATGTTTAACTGAAAATTCATGATTTGGGTTGCTTTTGTAGCGATTTCTCGTACTGTGGGACATCTATCCAAGAGTGCTGAGGTTATGAAGCTCGTCAATAACCTCATGAAGGCTCCTGAAATGGCTGTGGCTATGCAAGAGTTCAGCAAAGAAATGACAAAGGTATGCCTGCAATACTCTCTTCCCTCTCTATAATTACAGAAGATAATTTCATGGTAGTTATTAGTAATGTTGTATGTTTCAGGCAGGAGTCATTGAGGAGATAGTAAACGATGCTGTTGACTCGGCATTAGATTCTGAGGACATAGAAGATGAGATAGAAGAGGAAGTTGACAAAGTCTTAACGGAATTAGCGGGTGAGACAGCTGCACAACTTCCCGAAGCTGTGAGGAAACAAAAGGTGAAGCAACCTGCTCAAAGTGCTGCAGAGGAGGTATGTGCAATTCGATTTACGGGTTACAATGCTCTTTTTCGTGTCTGAGTTACTCTAATTATGGAATGCATTATTATTCGTAGGAAGAGGCTATTGCTGAGGGTGTTGATGACGAGGAGGAAATGGAAGAAATTAGGGCCAGACTGGCTAAAGTCAGGTCATAAACCAGTTCATACTCTCTAGTTTTGCAATGCAGCCTCTGCATTGTACCCTGATATATATTTATTTTAAGAGATGTTGACATCTTTGTATCTCATTTGTATTGGAAAATATGACTAGTATCACAAATGGTTACATAGTTCATATGTAAATTACACGAAATCCTAGCGAGGATCAAACAGTCGAAGTTTCAAGTTTATATTATTGAGGACAATACTAACGTTATCCACGGTTGAGGATTGAGGATTTAGTTTACGTAAATTCGGGACTTGTGGTAGAGATTACAATCCAGCTCCTCGAGTCTCAAGTGTTTGAAATGGTTTATTTTATGAAAGTAGCTTTTGACATGTTTATAAGATGTATTAAGTTTATTTTTGTAAACATTTCAAAATATCTTACAAAAAATATTGACAAAATATGCACTAGCCAACATATTGTGCAATCCCAAAAACCTAACTATCATGGAAATCATCTACTGTTTTCAAAATAGCAATGGATAACTTGGATGACAGAGCTAGAATTCTAAAAGGAAGTCCTTGGATCTTTAGAAACTCTTGGCTCATTCTCCAAGAATTGAATGAAATTGCACCAATTTAAGATCTGGAATTCACCAAAGCTCCCATCTGGTTGCAACTACGGGGACTCCCAATTAATGCGAAAACCTGTCAAATGGGAATGAAGACGGGGGAGAAAATTGGGGAAGCTATTGAAGCAGCCGTCTATCATATGCCAGATAGATGTATGATAGTGGAAGTGAAGGTCAAGATAAGTACACTACCCCCCATCAAACCAGGAATGTATATTGAAAGTAAAGCTAGTGGAGTGACATAGATTGATTTTAGGTATGAAAAACTATCCATGTTTTGCTTTATTTGTAGAATTATGGGACACAATGAAGACCACTGCAAGAATCCTTTTCCCCCAACCATAGTCAAAGGAATCAACCCTTTGGGGCCTTGGAAGACGGCCACTCAACAGGGTAGGAAACAGATAAATTAAAAGGACAAATTGTTCAGTAGCAATCCCTTTAAGATGCCCAACATCAGCAGATTCAGTCCCATCCCCAGATCCCTGATGGAACAAAGTTGTAAACCTTACTATCATTGTTCTAATAACAATTACATTGATTTTTATGTCTTGACTCAATATTTGCATAATTCTATTATCACTAATATTAAGTGGAGGGGCACATGCATCTATGGTTGTTCTAAAAACAATCAAAATACTCTTACTTGTTCTCTTATTTCTAACCCAGCCCAAACATATGGTTTTACTCTCTGGATCTTATTTGGCGACCTTAACTTGATCCCAGCCACTGGATTGCCAAAAGGCAGTTCCCATTCCATTTTTTACTATGCACAACAGATTTCCTGCAAAACCAATCCGATCGGCAGCAAACGAAGAATCAGTCAAGATCAAGTCCTGCCACTATATTGAATCCCTGCTTCTTGCATTTTGGTTTCGATGTTCCCATATCTACATCTAAGAAAATTAGACCACACCGCATGTTTCTCCTTCAATATCCTCCATTTCTATGAGGACAATAAAACCAAATTCAACACCTCCACATCTTTTACACCAAGGCCATCAAGATCCCGGGGCATACAAACCAAAATCCAATTCACCTGAATCATCCTTTTATCTTCGGACCCTTTTCAAAGTAAGTTACTTTGAATTCGATGAATCTCAAGTAACACTTTAAAAGACGCTTTATAGAAAGATAATGAGTAAATTGAAATGGCATTTAAAACCAAGTTAATCAACACTATCTAACCCGCAAAGGTTAAATGTCTACCTTTCCAAACCTCCAATCTTCTCTTCATGTGGTCGATTAAATCTCTCTACATTGCAATCTTCCTCGGGCTGTCCCTGACTTTAACACCAAGAAATTTGAAGGGCAATTTATCAATGTCACAAGACAAAAAAGATGAAGCCGCTTCCATAAACCAATCACTCACATTAATCCCTTAAATTTACTTTTACTAAAATTAATTTTCAACCCAGACATCATTTCGAAACCTCTAAAAATAGCTTTCATACACCAAATATTTTCGCCACCACCCTCCGTCATTAGGATAGTGTCATCTGCAAATTGTAAAATATTAACTTCTTCTTCATTGAACTTAAAAAAGGTAATAAAGGCTTTATGGACATCAAGCTTGACATGGCTAAAGCCTATGATAGGCTTGATTGGAATTTTATACATGGCCCCTTAGCAGACTAGGTTTCCCTAACAAAATCACCAGTATTATCATAAATTATATTAAAATCGTGTCTTTCTCTATTTTGATCAATGACAATCCTACTAATCAACTATATCCTTTAAGAGACATAAGACAGGGAGACCTTTTATCCCATTATATTTTTATTCTATGTACAAATGTCCTATCTAATATGATTAGAGAGGCCTACGTCAAAGATTAGATTAAATGGATATCTATAGCTAAGAATTCTCCTCACATGACTCACCTCTTTTTCGCAGATGACAACCTCTTATTTGGCAAAGCTGACATAGAGGAAACTTAGCATATTATCAATAATTTCAACTCCTACCAAGAAACATCAAGGCAGAAAATCAACCTTAACATATGTGAACTTATGTTCAACTATAATGTTAAACTTGAAACCCAAAGTAATATTCAATCCATCCTCAATATTCCCATTACTACTAATATTAAAACCTACCTGAGATTACCTACTAAAATGGCTAACTCCAAACTCCTGAACTTTCAACTAATCTTGAACAAAATCAAGAACAAGTTGAAAATTTGGGAAAACCAAAAACTTTCCTTAAACAAAAATTGACTTACGTGAAACCCTAGATAAGTTCATCCAATGGAAATAAAATATCGACTCAATCTTATCAAGTCAAAGATCTTCCTTAAACAAAAATGGACTAGGATTTAAAGAGAATAGAAAACCTAATAAAGGTATAAAACATAGGAAAAATAATCGACCAGTTTATAAATGCACACATTGTAAAAGAGTAGGTCATTTAAAATATTTTTGTTTTGATAAATTGAAAAATATAAAGATAACAACCTTAGATCTTCTGAAACTAACAGACACGAGTCCAAGAAGATGTGGGCATCAAAGGTGAAACCTTAGTGTATTGCAAGTATATTTTGTAGCCCGAAGCCTTGAAAAAATTGTCAATGGAGCTGTGCAAAGTAAGGGTATACTCTTAAAGTATTCATTATGGAGTCTCTGATCCAAGAATGGAATATGATGGAAAATATCAACTATTTTGATGAAAGCTATTGTTCTTGAGAATATCTCAAGGTCTATGATCCTTAGTGATCAATTGAGTACACATGTATGTAATGGACTTGTTCATTTTACTTATAGCAACTCTTTAATTCAATAATGTATAGACAAGGTTACACGATAATAGGACTGGTCCCTTTAAGGTAAGTATCTATCAAAATTTCTTGATAAAAGAGGTACACATTATTTTAAGATAAATATAATTGGAAAAATATTATTAAACCCTTAAAATGAGGAATTTATTTTTTGCTCATCTCAATCACTAATTTTCTAACCCAAAAAGATGAGTTTTCAAATGGTTTATAGAAAAGAGTGCAAATAAGGCTAAGCAAGGTTGCAACACACAAAACTCAAAATAAGATATGTTGAAAATGTGGCAGCCAATTGATTGACATTATGATCCAATCGATTGGAGCATTCAAAAAATCATAATTTCAACCAAAGAAATATTGTGAACATTTCTACAAAAAACATCAGCAGTTCTAAGGAATGTTGAATGTTCATCAGAAAGGGAATCAATTTAAAGCTTAAGAGATCATGATCAGACAACAAGATGTAGCTGACATAAGCTGTTGCTTTTAGCTCAATCCAAAGATCAAATTTCTAAAGATCAGAAAGAAGGAATTCAACACCAAAATCAGATGTACTGATATAAGCTATTACTTCAGAAACCAGACATCAGATAGACAGCTTACAAAAGCTGATTATCAAGAAATCAAGACAAGACCAAGAAGTCAAGATCAGAAAAGCTTTCACTCTCAAAGAAGACATTGTTCATCAGATAAGTTGTTGCTTATATATATCTGAAGACAATGTTCAAACATCTGAAAGACTTTGACTCTATAATAAAGAAGAATCTTATGGATCATTATCACTCCTCAATCAGAATCAATCCAGCAAGAAGAAGAAAAATCAAAACTCAAGAATTCAAAGACTTGAGAATCAGATAGTATGTTGTCATAAGATATGATTTCAAGGTTCGTCATCAGAAAAGCTTTTGATATCTTCATCAGAAAAACTTTCACGTAAAATCACAAGACTTGTTTCTCAGATAGGCTATTGTCGATCATTCTGAAAACAAGAATCCACTATTAAAAGTATCTGAAGAGAAACATCTTCTCAACACAATCTTCATCTTTCAGACCAGAAAAGAAATATGCCTTCAAAAGTAGTTCTAGATCAGAAGAAAAACTTTGTGTTTTAGATAGGCTGTTGCCCATAATTCTGAAGACAAGATTTGGTTCTGACCACTCTGGTGTTCCTGGACTACAACAACAAAGTAGTTTCTGAACTACTCATCAGTCAGTCATTATAAGAACGAAGATAAGTGATTGATCTCTTCCAAGCTTAATACTTCAGAATCAGAAGTACATCATCAGAAGATAAAGATCAAGAAACTTAGTCAAGAAGAAAATAGTACAATGATAGTATTATTCAAAGAAGTTATTCGCCCACTAACGTACGCTATCTACTGCAAGCAGTTGGTATAGGAAAGTGATGTTTCATATTGTTCCAAATCTGTCTTGAATATATTCGTCAGGAATCAACCGTTGGAAGGAGAAAAGTCTTCTCTATCCTTACAACAACTTTTTTATTTGAAAGGCTATAAAAGGAGAAAGATGAAATGATGAAAAGTTGTTGGAAAAAGTCATGGATGCAGACGTTGTTGGAGCTGATACGTTGAACATACTGAAGCTAACCATATAAGATGAAGATAATGAATTCTACAAAATTTTATTCAAACTACCAATCATATACATCTTGGCAGAATTATGAAAAAGCAAGGAGTTGTTGCTCATATCTTGCTTAATAAAGAAAGAAGATGAAGATGAAAAATTCTATAAGATGTTATTCAAACTATCAATCATATACATCTTGGAAGAATTATGAAGAAGTAAGAAGTTGTTGCTTATAGATTTCTCAACAAAGAAGATGAAGACAAGAAGACTACAAGATGCTGCACTTAACTTAGATTATATTCATCTTTGTAGAAATATGTAAAACACAAGAGTTGTTGTTCAGATTATGTTATTTCTTAATATCTTTATGTAAATTGTTTGTACACAAGAGTTGTTGTTCAGAGTTATGTCAAACAATATATACTTAAATTAGGAGTAATCTGCTTGATAAGAAGCACTCATGTAATCTCCAGAAAAATAATTTTGTTTAGAATTGGTTGGTTCCTCAAGTGATCGAGTGAAGATCAGAAGACTTGAGAAGACGTTGGCTGCGGTCATCGTAGATGAAATCCTATTTTAAGGGACCTGTTTAGTAAGAAACCTTATGGGGTCAATGATCACTATATCTCTTAGGGGATCAGGAAGGTCAGAATTCTTAAGAGATCACTGGTTAAGGGTCATTGTAATAAATCCCTCATAGAAAGATCAAGTTGATCAGATTTATGATAAGGCGTTATATCTTGTAGAGATCACTGAATGTATCATTGTGTTATTCCTAGAGTGACTAGTGTTAGTTAGAAGACTCAAGATGACAATGGCTACATGTCATTGTGAAATCTTGTTAAGAAAGATCAGGTAGGTCAGATTTCTTAAGGGGTCAACGGTTATTGATCATTGGTTGATTGTTAGTCACTGGAAGGTAGCCCGTGAATTTGTAATCAGTTTGGTTATATTGGATTAAGTGCTTGTTAAAGGCAAAATCATCTGAGGAGGGTGGACAGGAGTAGCCTAGTTAACTGTGAACCTAGATAACTGAATGTGTCTCTTTATATTTATGTCATTCTATGTTCTTTCATAATTCAATCAAATAATTTTCTAAAGGGGAATATTTTCTTAAAACCCAATTCACCCCCCCCCCCCCTTTCTTGTGTTTTTCTCTACCGTCATATAGTTCTCGGATAATATGGGAATGTTTCTCGCTCTGAGCCTTTCCCACTAGAAGGTGCCATAAGAGTTGGACCTCTAATAGGTTGGCTAAACTAGCAGAAGACTTACCGAGGAGCGTCTGATAATCCTCAGGAAAGTTCTTCAAAAGGGAGAGGTATCGATCATAGAACTCTACCAAAGAGAAGTACTAAGAGGGGAGGATCCACCTTCTTTTTTTTTCGCACTCTTCTGCT